CTGATCCCACTGCCCTGCCGGATAATAAAATTTCTGCTTTTGCCAGGTATAACGTGCCAGTTCAAAATCGGGCAATTTTCCCTGCACATTTGCAGTGTTTGAAAATCACAACTTAATAATGAAAAGAAACTGACTCAACAGGCTTCACTATTCATTTACTTTTCGGGGATTGCAAATTCATCGTTCCTGCAGTGATGCAACATACCGATATCAATTTGCAGTTACTTGCATGCTTCCAAAGGCTAGACTTAGCTATATCATGTTCTTCGATTTTGGGCTATATGCCTTAGTATCTACTGACTTGCTCGATATACGTGAATCACCTCCTCGAAGGCTACACAAATGATTCTTTACTTATCATGCGTACCACTCGCTAATGCGTAACATCCATCGTCTGTCGGTAAGGCCAACAACATGTCCAGCCCATCAGAACTTTTTCGCGTGGTCCCATTGATGCTAATTAGAACTTATTTTTTGGCGCGACTGCAGCAATATCCTACTGCCGTGAAGTCTGGCTGTTTATATGTCACAGCAAACACCCAAAGCATTCCTTTCTTTATAACAAAGTCAAAAAGGAAAAAATTGAGATGGATCAAAAGTCAACCTGCAGATCCATTATAACGCCGGTCTCAAACCAATCCAGGCGAACACGCCCAACATTGAATGAATAGGATTCGAAAGTCATTGTGCACCGCTGTACGTCCATTGGAAAAGATGTCATATCCAATTCACATGGCGCCTCCACCTAATTTTCAACACTTTTTATGCGTTTCCGTGTCTTTATGCAAGCGTAGTTTTGGAGCCGTAAGAAACTCTAGCGTGTGTGTTTTGCATGAAGCTCGATCGGCTTTCTGACAAGCAATGGTTCATCGAAATCATTGGCAATGCGTACTGGGCGGGCCCCTGCGATCATGCGCTTTTGCAGTATTTCATGCTTTTGTAAGATCTCTTGGTGTCCCAGTAGTTAGGATTTATGGCATGCTGGTCCGCAAGTTTAGTAGATTAATTGTGCAACTACATGGTACTTGGTCTGGGAACATCCCTCAAAGTTTCAGCTTTCTGTCTTTTCTGATCCTCGAGTTATCAATTTTTCCTCCAAAAAATGTCACGAGATTGTATGTAAGAACACACATAGCTTGGGGCTGAACATGAACACTTTAAGTTGCACGTGGGCTTGGGACATCTCTTTAAAATTTCAGTCTTCCAGACTCCCTGGCTTTAAAGTTAGCGATTTTCCCGCCAAAACCTTCACTCTCGTACACGGGGCCAAGACATGCGTGAGAGTTGGTGCCGCGGTACTTCTACGGTATTTGGCCGGCGAACTCAATGGCAAAATTTTGGCAATGGAGCTTGCTTGACTGCCGAATTTAAATACCTGAACAGACACGCACACACACACACATACATATATATATGTGTATGTGTGTGCGTGTCTGTTCAGGTATTTAAATTCAGCAATATATATATATATATATATATATATATATATATATATATATACACCGGGATCATCGCAATATGCGTTTTTCTATTTGCGTACGTGCAAAAACGCACAAAAATGCAAATTTGATAATGTAAAGATGTCGGAAGAGGATTACGAAATCCGCAAAACACACTCGCTTTTGAGTATGCGATGAAGTTATATATTTCTCATACCTTTTTGCAAGGAAATTAGCGCCCAAGGTGTATGTGAACGCAGAGTATTCCTGTAAAATTACTAGGAAGTTCACGACGACTTTAGCGCACCATTAGACAGTTTGGTGGAGAGGTATGCCCATAAAAACAATATCCCACAGTTTGGTGGAGAGGTATGCCCATAAAAACAATATCCCAACTACCGGTTTCCATAATTTCAAAAATCGCATTATTACTCTCATTCACTGGCGCAGTGCACAACTAAGTCCTGACAACATACACGCACATCACTGGATAAGTCAAGCTATTAGAATTCTACACCGCGACTACGTAGTCACTACAATCGATAAGGCTCACAACAACTACATTATCGTTTGCAAGAAGTTCTATGCTATGCTACATTGCAAAGAACTGGGACTGACTGATACTGGTGAGGTTCTAGGGAACAGCGTCTACATCCCGCAACTGTAACAACCCAGCAGGTACTTGATTCGCACGCGGTCATTTGCAGCCAGTTTCACACAACCACCGCTGCTATTAGCAACTGCGTGCCGAAGATTTATGCAGTGCCTAAGCTACATAAAAATTCCTACGATTGCAAGTTCATAGCAGCAGCTAACAAGTCCACCTTAAAAGAGTTTTCTATTGTCCTACATCGCATTCTTGGACATCTGAGGACCCACTTCCAAAACTACTGCAATAAAATTGCATTACGAAAGGGAGGAAGATTTTATTTTAGCGTAGCTAACTCACAAAACCGTATTATTCAGACTCCTGGCACTATCATCGCGGATTATTCACATATATTCTGCCGACTTCAGCAACCTCTTTACTAGTTTTTCGCATTTGGATATAGCTAAAAGCATTAGTTACCTGATTAATCTGTGTTTTAGCCGTAGGGTACAGATCGGTTTGGTTTGCGAATGAAATCCGCACCGACCTAACCTATTATAATAAGGATGAGGTAATGGCGATTCTTCACACTATACTCTCAGAAACTTACGTAAGATTTGGAGGTCACCTGTTTAGACAGATGTAGGGTGTTCCAATGGGCGGAAGTGCCAGCCCCAACATGGCGGACCTTACGCTGTCCGTGATGGAATATCACGATATTAGCAAACACCTCGCTGTAGAACTGTGCTCCTTTCGCTACGCAAATGACATACTAGCATTCAACTGTCCTCAGTTCAGCGACTTCGCCAGAGACATTTACGGGACCACCCTCACGCTCAACACCGCCTATTCCGGCCAATATGCCTGCTTCCTTGATCTGGCCATCCATTGTACAAGTGGGCGGTGTACGTCTGACGTTTACAATAAAACAATGGATTATCCCTTCAAGGTTAACGAAGCCAGCCACCCCGACAGTGATGTTGATCCTGCTATACATGATAGCATCATTAAGTCCCAACTACTACGGTACGCTGGGATTTGTAACATAATCCATAAATTCACGTGGTGGGCTAAACGACTTATCAGCGTATATAAAAATCGGGGATATAATTAATAGGATACACAGAGTACTATTAAAATTTAGCTACCGTAATCAAATCCTTTTCAGCAAGTTTTTTGATGCGAATTACCAAGGTATTAGGAATCTATGTCATACGTTAACAGAGTCAGCACTCATTACTAACCACATTACCCCACAGACGCGCAACTGATCTCAGATTAACTGACAGCGTTTGACTATTTCTAGTTGCTATGGTATTATCCGGCGAGCCTTCCTTGAAGAAGATCAAAACTGAAGCCTTTCTCTCGCACGTTAGTTTACTTTTTGTTCTTACAGAATCTAACAATTTGTCTATCCCACATCTTTCTCTTCTTTTCTTCTAAATTACCTAACATGTCCTCAATTACATAGCGAAATGGGGCACTGCACTGATGATTCCCACCCCATTTCGCACCATTCTGGTCGTCTGTGTTTACAGTTCATGGATGAAACACAGACGTCACCCAGTACAAATACCGGCTAGCTTAAATGTGATTGTAAAATTTGTCTTCTTCGCAGAATATCAAATAAACATAGTCGACTGTTCCGTTCCTCTTACCCCATGTCGCTGCACCTTGTCAGCAGCAATGCGAAACTTTCCAATACTTACAGCCTCTCAGATCGTCTAGTAAGTGAAACAGCCACTTAGCAAGAAATTTTTCTGAACTGTGTAGCATAACTGAAAATCGAAACTGTTCTGAGAAACACTATTTCTCAGATATTCTGACAAATTTTTAGATACTATTTTTTGGCTGGTTTTCGAACTGGCGCAGCGCTAACTGTGAATTTTGACGTGTCCGCTGTACAAGCTTACGCGATAGCTGAATTTGAAATTTTTGGCTCAGAGAAACACAACAGATTCCCTGCAAAGTTTCATCTTTTTATCGCTTCTAATTCCCGAAATCGTTTTCTGCGAACGAAAATCGCGTACTTTTTTCTGGATCAGTAAGCGAGATCTAGGCGCATATTAGTGGTGATTATAGAAGAGAGAGTGATAAGCAGGGGTGGGAAGATGCTTCCAAAATTTGAGTCTCCCAGATTTCCTAGTTGCTGAGTTAAAGTTAGATGACAAAGTCCACTCGCTACCGAACACAAACACATACATAAATACATGCACACTTGCATAAACACTTGCACACACTCATACACGGACGATCTTTCGATACAGCATGAACGCGAAATGCATACTGTCAAAAGGTTACCAGCGCTTATTTATGCATGCTGTAGAGTTAACTTTTTCCATTCACTTTCAGCTCTAGGACCGAAAAGTTGGTATCCGAGGTCCGTGAAGTGCATTTTCCTAGGTCAGTTATATAAAGAGAGCAAACTTCTTTAGTCATAGCGAAAAAGCACAGGAATTAAGTGGACGTAGGTTCTTTTCTTGGTCCTTGCGTCATGAAAGTTTGAAATCCAGCATTTAAACGAATGAACTCAAGTGTTTTTGGCAAGCCGTCCCATCTGATACAAACTCATTCAAAATCTTCATAAAGCAGTTCCGGGACCAGGCCGTAAAAATATTTTAAATGCCTCACTGCTCCGAGTGGAACGCGCTACACTGTTTATACAGATAGACACACATGGATTCGTGCTGATGAGGCTACGCATTGCCAAGGAAGTGCCAAAACCTTCGAAAACAGATGTGCTGGGTTTTAAGAAAGTGGCACAAATTGTTTTTTAGTCGACAAAAATCTGGACATAAATTAGAAATGATAACTCACTTTAACTCGATAATTGACCCAAATTGTTCCATTTGGGTAAATTAGCAAGAAAATGTTTGGCGTTGGACTGTTGTGCACAGTGGTTGACTTGCTATTTTGGAAGCACACATTAGGAAGCCAGATATCGTCGATTGTACGGTGACTGAGCGTTAAATTTGTCAAGCACCTAAAAAAGTGGCCGTCAGCTACCAGAACAAGTTTTGAAATTTCTCAGCTATTTCTGTCAGATACTTTTCATTTTCATGCTTTTTTGCATATATGCAAATTGCAAAAACGCATGTTGGGAAGAGACTGCCTGTGTGTGTGTGTGTGTTCGTACTTTTTTGTCACGCACTTTCAACTCGAGAACTAGAAAAGCTAAAAGCTGAAACTTTGAGAGTACGTGCTCATAACATGCGCGACCTCCCTTTTTAATATCATCCCCGCGTACGGACGCTTTAAAAAAAACACGCGAATTTTTTGACGAGAAAGCGATCTGGGTGACCAGACAAGATAAGGGTCTGAAAATCTGTAGGGATGCTCCCCGCGCATATTTTAGCTAAAGATTTCAAATCCCCCAGGCTTGCGTGGTACTTACGTAAAGGCGTATGAAAGTTTTGATGGGAAGACTGCTAACTCGATAACTAGAAAAGCTATAAAGCTGAAATTTTAAGGGAATGTTCCTTGTCAAGTACAACTTAAATGTTTCGAATTCAGTCTTCAGGCATATGTGGTTGTTACGCAAGGGCGCTTAAAAGTATTGGCGGAAAAACTTCTCACTAAACAGCTGGGTTTCTTTTAAAGAACGACCGTTAAATGGAAATTTTACATTTACTTTATTTATGGTGATTTAAGCAAAATTTATGGTGTTTTATGCTAGTGGCCGCAAAAGATAGGTGTAGAGCAATAAACATTCATGCAGTTCATGACCTGAGTAACTCAGATTCGGTGCAAAAACACAAGATCGTACGGGCCCGCCCTGTGCGTTCCAGCCTGGGTTAAACTTTTCAAAGTTAAGCATTTCATTCACAGCGACTCACTTTGTGAGATTTTCAAATGAGAGTCCAGGATCCATCCAAATTTGACTAAAGAAAACATCGGCGGTGAAACTCGCAGCAATCTCCGAAATACTGGATATAGCCTGAATCATCAGATCAACTTTCACATCAACACCGTCTGCTATCGGTACCGTTTTCAGATCATACGATAACATCAGCTGCTCTAGTACGGTCTAAAAAACGTAGCAGTACTACTTTTCATAAGCATGGATAATTGGGTTGGCTCTGCAGCGAAATTCCAAACTATCCACCGAGTGCTTTGGAAACACTGATCTTTGCTTGAACTAGCACCCCAAAAACATATTCTTTTTTTATCAGCAGTGATTAAGGATTTGTCTTCCTCCACTGTTCCGACAATGTCACGTACGTTACCCACTCGGCAGTCATTGCCTGAGTAAAATTGCGGGGGATGAAAATTAAAAATTACCTTTGCCAGAGTATCATTATCAGTGACACAACTTCGCTGGCCAAGATCGCTGGGCTGCGGGGAGTGTAACGTCTGCGACTTTGCGCCTCGTACTTGACGATTGCGCTGAATATAGCTTGTCTTCTCAGTCCTTATAGCTGCCGTCTCGCGCTTCTGCCGTACTTTTCTCATCACCTCAAATAATATTTGTGCCAAAAAAAAACATGATGAGGAGGAAAAATCATTAGCGACGCTCACCAGGCGGGGCGTTGCGATCATGCGTTTTTGTAGTATTTCGAGTTGTAGCAAGATCGCTTGGAATCACAATAGGTGGAATTTGCGACATGCTGGTCCTGGGAAAGTTGGTTGTAGAACTGCCACATGGTACTAGAAGGAGAACATTCTGTTAAAATTTCAACTTCCAGCTTTTTTGGTTTTCCAGTTAGCGATCTGTCCCCAAAAACTGTACGAGGCCACAAGTGAGAATCACGCAATCCTAGAATTTGGAATCTTTAATTTTCACGTGGTCTAGGAATATTCCCTGAAAATTTCAGCTTCTCAGATTTTTTGGTCCCGAGTTAGCGACTTTCTCGCCGAAACTTTCACATGGTCGAATGCGAGATCCAGATGTAAGTGAGGGTTGGCACCACGGTCTTGGGTTGCTACTTGGCCGGACAACCCGCTGACAAAATCTTGGCACCGGACCATAATTAGTTGCTGAGTTGAAATATCCGGACAAACGCGCCATGGCCGTCACAGTATGTGTTTTTGCATTTGCATTTATGCAAAAACGCATGATGATGATATGTAGAAATTTTTCTACCCAAGATAGATTTACGGATCCTTTATTTTAAGCGTTTTTGCATATATGCAAATTGCAAAAATGCATATTGGCAGGAGGCTGTCTGTGTGTGTCTGTGTTTCTGCGCATTAGCAATTTTTGTCACCCACTTTCAACTCGAGAACCAGGAAAGCTAGAGGGCTGAACCTCGGAAGTAAATGCCCACGCCGATTTTTTGGCTTCCCAGATTTTTTGGTTTCCGTGGTTCGCAAGTACGAGCATGCGA